CTCCTGTCCTGCTCAGGAGGGCAGCCGGCTGATCCATCCAGCACCAGTGCCTGAAGGGCGGACAGGACGCGCTGTGGACTCCCCTTGGCCCGTGGCCACCCGATGTGGACCCCAGACACCAGCAGAACACACGCAGGGCCATCGGGTGGGCACTTTCAGCCTCAGGGCTGGCTCCGTGCAGGGCTCCCCCTTTTCCTTCCTTCTCTCTTCCTCCCTCTTAAAATCTGCCGTCCTCGTGTCCTGTCCGCATCCTGCCCGGCTGCGCAGATCCCTTGGGGAACAGGTGGGAACCTGTTCAACAGGAACCCTGAGCTGCTTGCTTGCATTTATTTATTTATTTATTTATTTATTTATTTATTTATTTATTTATTTGGTGTGGGAGTGAATCCAGGGGCACCCGACCACCGAGCCCCATCCCCAGCCCTATTTTGTACTTTATTTAGAGACGGGGTCTCACTGAGTTGCTCAGCACCTCGTCATTGCTGAGGCTGGCTTTGAACCTCTGATCCTCCTGCCTCAGCCTCCCGAGCCTCTGGGATTACAGACGTGTGCTCCGTGCCGGCTGCCTCCTCCGTCCCCGGCCTCGTTAGCAGACCACCTGGCTGTGTGGCARCCCCAGCGCCTCACCCTGTAGCCTGTCCTGGGCGTGCGGTGTTGGCGGGGGAGGTGGCCCGGGCAACCTTGGCGACGACTTATGGTGTTTCTAAATTCCAGGGGGACGAGGAAGCACAGGAAGGAGGATTCCTTTCCTAAATGGTCAGAAGTGATCCCAGAACTCCTGGCCCAGGTCAGGCCACCAAGGAGACAGGCGGAGTGGAAATGGCTGTGGGTCCGGGGGAGCCCAGGCCCCTCCTGGGCACTCTGCGCACAGTGGGACCAGCTCGTACAGGTGGATGGAGCCAGGGAGGCCCTTGTGCTGTGCAAGAAGAAGAAGCAGAGTCCACAAGAGCAGCAGGTGGGAAGAGGCGGCTGAGGAAGACGAGAGACAGCCCAGRGAGGCCCGGGGCCCAGCGCGGCTACTCCCCAGCTGGTCACCATGTCCCATGGCCGCCAGGCCTCAGTTCCCTCTCCCGTGCATAGGATAGAGTAATCGGTGCTGCAGGAGCCTGCAGGATCACGTGTGATGGTGGCAGACCCAGATGCGTAGCAAGTGCTCAATACACATCAGCACCAGGGCTCCCCATGGTCACCGTCCCTGCTCCCACCACAGGCATGGGTCTATGCATGGCGCCAGGGCTTGTGAAGCCAAGCAGAAGGTCAAGACAAGATAACGCAAGGAGGGCTGGGGACAGGGTGTGACCCGTGAGTGCAGTTTCTGTGGGACGTGCAGTTCCCAGATCCCAGCCCCAGTCAGGCCACGGCTTAGCTCTTGCTCCTTCCTCCGCGGCCCATCACCCGAGCAGGCAGAGCTGTTCCTGAGGCCCGCAGTCCCCAGCGGGGCCTGGACGCCGGCTCCAGCAACAGACGTGACACACACTCGCACGGTCCCAGCCTCTGCCTCCTCGGGTCATTTGAGCATCTGTTCTCTGCAGGCCTCCAGTGTCCCTTGCCTCTCAGGTCACAGAGGTCAAAGCCTCCTTATGCTCCTGCCTGCCCCCCCCCACCTCCCATGAGTTTGCTGTACCCCATCTCTGCTGTTACTGTCACAAAATGCCACACACAATGCCCGAAAGCAACACAACATTATTCTCCCACAGCTCTGGAGGCCGGGGGTCTCAAAGAAGGTGTGGGCGGCTGGACCCTTCCGAGAGGCTCCAGGAGAGAAGCTGCCTGGCTCCGTTCCTTCTCCAGCCTCTACAGGCCCTGCCTCCCCTGCCCCTGGCTCCCTCCTCCACCTTCGAGGCCAGCAGGACCATCTTCTAATCTCTCTCTGCCCCCGATCTCCTTGTGATACTACTGCCACCCCCCAGACAGGCCAGGAGACACCCGTCTCAAGATGTCACTCAGTCACACCTGCCAACTCCCTTTTGCCGTATAAGTTGACGTCTCACAGGCTCCGGGTGAGGCGTGGACTCTTGGCGGGGTCATTATCTGGCCTCCTCCACCTCCCTCCCTCCCCTGCTCCCATCCTCTGCGCTGTCCCTCCAGTGGCAGGGAGATCTGACCCCCCCTCCCCTGTCCAGCACGTCCACTGTAAAAGCCCAGGGAGCGGCTTCCCCCTGTGTCGCCCTTTTCATGCAGAGCTCCCGCTGGCTTCTGAGGGACAGCGGTGCCACCTCTCCCAGCTCACGCCCCCTGGCCCCAGCCTGGCTCTCCTATCTCTGTCCCCCAGCTCTGATCTCCTCTCCCCCAGGCTTCTGAGAAGAGATGATCCTGGTCACCTCCACACTAACCAGGGTCCACCCACGGCTCCCCTGCTGGTCCTGCAGATAACTCCACTGGAGAGGAGGGGACTGTCCCCGCGGCCAACTGTTTGCCACGGAGGCCCACCTTCTAGGAGGGTGCCCGGGTGGACGTCCCTGCGGCTCTCGCTAAATGCACCGCTGACCGCGCTGCGCAGACCCAGAGGACGCTTCTCAGCCCTTCTCACTGTGCTTCCAGCAGAATTCGACGCCGTCGGCCACTGTGGTCCTCATGACCCCTCGCTTCCCTCTGGACTTCTGGGACACCTGCCCTCCTGGCCCCCTCCTCCCTCTCAGGCCACTCTTAGTCCGTCTTCTCAGACTCCAGCTCCCCGGAACGTTGAGGTGCAGCTCCCCAGAGGGGGGTCCCAGGCCCCTCCACCTCTGTCAGGCCCTCGGGGCTGCCCTCGTGCCCCACACCCCACAGACCACCTGTGCACARGGGACTCGCGGGTGACACCACAACCTCCTCTCCATATGCCTACTGGACATCAGCAGGTGGACATCTTGGCAAGACTCCAAACCCAAGTCCAAACCCGAACCACCATCTTGCAGCCCCTCCTCCTCCAGCACCCTCATTTTGCACCTGCAGTGACCTGTTGGAGGGGGACCCCCTTGACTCTCCCGCTCCCCACAGAGCTCGGCTGGGGACAGAGTTCCCAGCCCTTTCCCTTGTCTTCACATCTCCGCCCACAGAGAGGAGCCGGTCCAGGGTGCCCCGCGCCACGTCCCAGTCCTTTTGATATTTACTTTGAAACAGGGTCTTGCTGAGTTGGTTAGGGACTTGCCAAGTTGCTGAGGCTGGCCTTGAACTTGCAATCTTCCTGCCTCAGCCTCCCTGGGAGACCTCATTCTTGACCACTGCTCCACCCTCTGCACCCAATCAGTTCTCCAGGCTGCAGCCACAGTTGCCTTTTCAAACATAAATGTGCTCAGGTCACTCTTCTTACCCCCAACTTCAAACAAAATGAAAGCTTCTCACTGTCTTTAAAGAGCAAGCAGACTCATTTGGYCCACTGGGCCCCACTTGGTCAATATCCCTCCCTCCTCTAGGTCTCTGTGTTTGTCGCTCTCCAGGAACCACTAACCAGTTGCTTGAATATACTGCCTTCTCCTCCTGCCCCGGGGCCTTTGCACATGTCACTCCAGCCATCTGATGCCCCTCTCCAGCCCTCACCTGGAAGCCATTCTCTTCCTTCAGTCACAGCTCAGTGCCAGGAAGCCTTTGCTGATCTCCGGCCGTAATAATTCCCCAGGCTGTTCACTTTCTCTGGGCCTCACTATCTCGCCATTAGCTATCAGATTTGGAAYTTTATGCATATTTATCTTGTTCTTCAATTAATTCCATCTCCTGCACAGTGAGCTCCATGAGAACAAGGCTATGCCTGACCTGGCCCACCACTGTGTTCACAGGGCCAGCCAGGCCGGGCATGGAGAAGTCGCTCAGAAGAGAAGCGTTCAAATGGTGAGCCGGCTTGCTTCTCCCGTAGCTGCTCTCCCGTAGCTGTTCAGTGGCTCAGGTTTGACTCAGTCTTGGAAACTCCTCTTCCTCCTTTCACATCCCCCCACCAACAAATCCCAGGGACTCTCCCTCCCAAATCTCTTTCAAATAAGCCCACCTCTAGCACCCAAGCTCAAGGGGCCACCTAGTTTTTACAGAAACCCTGCCCCAGTCTCCTAGCGGGAGCCTGGAGTTCGCAGCCCAGGGCACCTCTCTGCCTGGCCACACAGTGGAGCCCTGGCCGGGGATGCAGGTGGCCCCCTGGCTCAGGCACACTGGCCCGGCCGCCCTGCCTGCTGACTTTCTGCCACTCTGAGCCTCAGCCATCGCTGCCGCTGCTCAGGCTGCTCTCGCGGCCTCATGAGCGTCCTGCTCATGCGGAGCTCTTTCCCACCCCCTCCAAGACGGACCGCCACGCGTTCTTCCAGTTCCTACCGCATCTAGGTCAAGAACAACAATAACAGCAGCCGGTATCGGGCCAGCGTGACCTAAGGCGCTGCACCACGACCCGTTCTTCTTCAGCCAGGCTGTTATCAACCTCAGACTGAAACGGGCTCAGAGAAGYCCATGACTCGTCCAAGGTCACACTGGAGGGTAAACAGCGAAGCTGGCTGACATGACGCACTGGGGCTCCAGGCCCCAAGGTCTTGGGGACTATGAGCATGCATGGCCCTCTGTGCTGTGTTCCCAGAGCGCCCTGCGTTCCCCTTTAGGTCACAGTGGTCACACGTACACAGTGCATCGACTCCACGCACGCCTCCAGCACTGGCCCTGCCCTCACGTGACTGCCTTCTAAGATGAACATCCTGCTCTGCCTCCCCTCAGTCCCCACGTCCCTGTGGAAGAGGGGTGGCTGGGCCTTTTGTAAATGCCACCGAATGCCCTGACAGGCACGCACGCGAGGACTTGTAGGAACACTGCCCTCTGCTCTGGCCGACGACTTCCTGCTCTGCTTATGACCGCCAGGTGGGCTCTCTCAGGATGGCCCTTGGAAAGCGAGGAACACAGCCACTGGGTTGGGGATGGGGACAGCATCCATCATCTGCATGTCCAATGGCACATGCAGAAAAGCCCTTGGGCCAGCATATGGCGCCCCCTGCTGGTTTCCTTCCATGTCCTCGACAACCTCTCCCGCTGAACAGCCCAGGGACACTCACCAGCCATGAGAAGAAGCCCGCCGATTTGTCCTGAGTGGAGATCTGCCCCTCATAGGGGCCAAAGATGTGGCCCTTGGGTATGACCTCACTTATGCACCGCACGTCGCTCTCTCCGCTGGCTTCCTTGACCACCTCCATGCCCTGCGGGATGGTGAGGGCAGCCCGGTCCGGGATGCCCACGGGCACCGGTGTGTCCGACACAAACACGGGGGGACCATGGTTGGGGCACTCGTCCACAAAGTACTCCTGGCAGGACTCGCAGACTGCAGGGATGGAAAGAAGAGGAAGGGTCTCAGTGGTGGCGGGGAGATAGGACCCCTAGGGAGGAGGCCAAGGGCTGAGAGGAGGCCACCCAAGGACAGTGCAGGCAGCAGAGAGCACAGTGCATTGACACCCAGCCGCAGGCCCCTGGGTCATCAGGATAGTCACCCAGTGCCATACCTGGTTACCCTCCCCAGGTCTCCAAGAGGAAGCCGCCAACTCAAGGGAGCCACCAGTTCCTTTTGTCTCAAGTTTGAAAAAGGAGGAGAGAGCATGGCTTCAGAGCCTTATGGCTCTGAACTGCGACTGTCCATCTGTGAGCCGTGGGACCTGGCACTGGGCACTGAGCTCTCAGCAAGCCGCGGGGTCCTCACCTGGAAGATGGGGCCAACCACAGCCCCCTCTGCAGCTCTAGATGAGGACCACCGGAGCATGGACCGGTGCCTGGTCCACCGGGCACAGGTGGACCTCACTAGTACTCCTGCTGCACGTCCCCAGCCCAGGAGAGGGGGTGGGGGGAGGGAGGTGCAGGCCGGAGCCTCGAGCCCCACTTACACCAGAAGTCAACTTGCTGGAAGCTCTTGGGCACCATGAGGTCTCGCTTCCCCTTCAGTTTCTTGGGCTCGACTTCCATGGCCGAAGGCTCGGGTCTCCTAGAGCTGCCCAGGACAAGGGTCAGCAAAGAAAGCAAAGCAGCCGTCAGAGTGAGAGTCTGACAGGGAGAGGCTGGGGACCCGGCCGAGAGGCCCAGGGGACACGGGTGTGCATAGAAGCCCCAGGTGGCCTGCTGTTCCTGGGCCACTGCTCCAGCTCTTCTAGGGCCTGCGCTCACCCCTGACCCCAGAAGCTGCCCAAGAAGGTTAAGGAAGGTGGGCAGGGTCCCCAGCCCCCCCAGTCCAGCCACCCTCCTGCCCGCTCTGGGTCCCCACACAGGCCTCACCAGGGCTGGCCATACTCCTGGTCGCGGAGGGGCGAGCAGACCTCTGTCTTCACCACTGTCACCATGTCCCCCACAGCCGCCTTGGTCTGGGCCAAGCACTCCTTCATGTTCTCAGTCATTCTGTCCTGGGATGCAGGAGCAGGCCAGGAAGAGGATCAAAGAAAGGGGGAAGAGGGGTGAGTGTCGCAGAGGGCACGCAGGGGTCCCGCGGAGTCTGGTTACCCGCCTGCCATCCCAGAGGAAGCTCAGAACACAGACAACAAAAACAGCTGCGGCCCGGCCAAGAGGAAATGCCATTTCTATCCCGGGCTGGTCCTGGGGACGACTGGAGCCACCAGCCCCATGGGGTCAGGCACCAGGGGCAGCTCAGGCCAGGGCAGGCCTGGGAAGCACAGCCGGGCCCCAAGACCAACGGGGAAAGGACACGAGGAACCCACATGGGCTTGGGGACAACTCTGCGCAGGGGCTCAAGGAGGGAACAACTCAAGTCCAACTGTGGTCAATGGGGTGGGCGGGACGAAACGGGCCCTCAGTGCCTGGCGCGTGAGGGGCTGCCCGAGCGGCCAGGCCCGGTGCCAGCTCCGGCAGGTACCGCGGGCGGCGGCCACTCAAGCCCCACCCCCAGGGGCGTCCTCCGCGGCTTACCGCCCTGCACCAGCGCCGGGCTTCGGCCGTCCCTCGGCACCCCGGGGTCCTCATGCCAGGCCCGGGGACACTCTTCGGGCCGGGACAGCGCGGCTGGGGCTGGGGCGGCGCGGGGCCCRGGCTGGGCGAGCGGCGTGTGACTCACCACCCGGGGCCCCGCTGGCCACTCCCCTGCTCCTCGCTCACCAGCCCGCTCCCCACCGGGGCCCCAGAGCCGCGGGCGGGAGGGTGTGGGGAACGCGGCCGGCCCCCTCCTCCAGCCGGCGGGGCCGGGGGCGCGCGGCGGGGACCTGGCTGGGGCCGCCCCGCCCCCGGCCCGGGCACCCGCCCCCGGCGCCCGCGGGAGCAGCGGGGCCCGAGTGGGCGCGGGCCGGGCGGCGGGCAGCGGGCGGCTCACCCACCTTCCCCGCGGGGCGCTCCCGGCCAGCCCGGCCCTGCCCAGCGCCGCCCCGCCGCCCTGCGCCCGGCATTCCTTGCGGGGGCATGTGGCTTCTTGCCGGCCCCGGGGGCACGCAGTTGGCTGGCGGCCGGCGGGGAGGGGGGCGGCGGGGAGGGATCCTGMGCCTCCCGGCCTCGGCCCCACTCGAGCCGGGGCGCTGGGGCTCGGGCGGGCGTCTAGTGGGTGGCAGCGCCCCAGAGGCCGGGCGAGGGCGCAGGGCCCTGAAAGGCGCCCCGCAGCCTCCGAGCCCACCTCGGCCTGCGCCGCCCCGGGGTGGGGGGAGCCCCGCGCCCACCCCACAGCCCTTGGATCTCCGGTGAGAGGGCAGGGTCACAGGTCAGCGGGGCAGGAGCCGGGGCTGCAAGATGGCAAGAGATTTGCCCAAGGTCACGCAGACCAGTCCTGATGAAGTCTGCCCCGGAGGCTGGGGCGCAGCTCAGAACAGGAGAAGGGGAACTCCTCTCCGTCCATGGTCATGTTCAGGCCCTGGGTGTGTCCGGGCCGTGTCCTCCGCCTGGTCCTCTTGTGGAATGATCACTGGGATCAGCCGGTGGTGGGTTTGAGCCTCAGCTCATGGGCCAGCCCCACGTGGGGGCAAGGTGCTGTGGATTTGCAAAGCCCAGGAGCAGGTCTCCCTTGGAGGAGCAATGGTCACACACAGGCCATCAAAGGCAGTGGATCCTGGTAATTAGCCACCCAGGCTCTGGAGAGGAGCAGCCCGAGTTCCCCACCGACCTACAGAGTGACTGTGCGCCCTGGGCAGGTGTCAGAGATGGAATGTTTGAGCCCCACCCCACTCCACCACCCATTCCTATGTTGAAACCATAAGCCCCACTGTGACTGTATTTGGAATAGCACTGTGGGGAGGTGACAAGATGAAGTGAGGTCTTGAGGGTCAGGTGTCATAGAGGAAGAGGTCCGGAGCTGTGTCCATGGTGTGACACATAGCCTAAGCCGGCCCTCTGCTGGGTGGAGAGCATCACCTGGAGCTGGGTGGCCTGGCCTTGACTTTGGACTTCCCAGCTCCAGAACTGTGAGAAATCAGTGTGYCATTTAAGCCCCTCGTCTGTGACATTCTGCTGTGGCAGCCTGAGCTGACGGACACAGCGAGATGTCTAAACTCTCTGTGCTCCCATTTCTTCATCTGGAAAATGTGGCTAATAATAGATTCCATCACAGAAGCTCTGTCTGACATGGACAGAGTTTGGGGGGTGGGCACAGTCCTTACGTCCCGCACAGAAAGGCAATAAGGAGGAGGAGAGGAGCAGCCTCACGAAGGGTGGGCTTGGAATCCTCTCCACTGGACTGTAGGTCCACCGCCTGCAAACTTGGGCACTTTATTAGAACCGCGTCTCAGGACTAATTTGCATGGGGGTCCCCTGCCCTGGCCCTGGTGCCTCCACCAGGACCACCTGCACGCCATGCTCCATCCCGCCACAAGGCCTGTGACCTGGCTGGGTCCCCACCTGTCCTTCAGCCCTCCCCTCATGATACCCTCTACTGGCCCCAAGTCACACTTCATGGCACTTGTCACATTTACAAAGGCACTCTACCAGCACATCATGTTTCCTATAATAGGCGGAGCTCCCCGAGGACAGAGGCTCTTCGCTGACCACTGGCTTCTCGGCACCTGTTACAGGGCCTGGAGCCTGGGAGGCTGGGAAAGGGGAGCAGGTGCCAGGGCCCCGACAGCAAGGAGCACTCACTCTCGGGACCACACACTTGCAGGACCGACCCGTGACAATGAAGGCCTCCCTAAATAAATGTGCAGCCAAGTGCCTTAACCAGCACAGAGCCCTTTTCTCAATCAATATTTGCCCAATGAATAAACGATCTGATACTCTAAGTCAGAAGACTGTCCCTATCTAATGTGTCCCATGGGTACAGTAGAGAATCTCAACTCCATAGAGACCTGGGAAGGAGAGAAGGCGGGTGGTTATGGTTTTGGTGCTGGGGACTGAACCAGGTCTTAACCACCTCACCATCCCAGTTGGTTTTGTCTTTTCCCTTTCCAGGACAGGTTCTAGCTCATTGTCCYAGTCTAGCCTTGAACTTTTGATCCTCCTGCCTCAGCCTCCCAAGTCACTGGGATTACAGATGGACAAACTCGTGCCACCAAAAGCAGCTGGGTCAGGGCTTTGAATCCTCCTCCCCCTGCACTCCCTCCTGGTGATCTCCACCTGGCGAGGCGGGCCCTGGGGCGAGGTGTGCTGGAGGCACAGTGGGCTGGGGAGGCCGGGGCTTGATTCTGATAACCTGGTGTGCTGGGTGGGGATGGGACACACCCTGGGTGGAGTCCTCAGTGGTGAATAGAAGGACGTACCTGCCAGGTTTCCCCAGGAGGGACAAAGGAGACGGAAACCAGGGCAGGGTTTATGGGGAATATTAATGTCACAGTAGCTGCCCAGAGGAAAGGGTGTAGGGGAGGGGACAGAAGAGGAGAGAGGGCAGAAGGACCGGGAGCAGCGAAGGAGGAAATGGGCAGTAGTAAGAGAATAAAGGATGGAGAGGAAGAGAGGAGAGAAAAGACGGAGGAAAGAAAATAGAGAAAGTGGGGCAGGGGACTGAGGGAAAGAGGCATACAAATGTGAGTCTCCAACGGTCCCTGGACACAGTCCCCTTGATGAAAGCATTGGTCTGTCTCCAAGCAGAGACCCCGGGTCTTCCTCCTCTTCCACACCCCGGCCCTCACCGCCCTCTTTCCTGTAATGAGGTGAGGACCAAGCCCTGCTTCTGTGAAGGATGGAGGTGCAGCCTTTTGTCACACAAGCACGGGCAGGTGGAGTGTCCCCTGTCCAGAGTGCTTCAGAACAGAAGGCTTCAGATTGGGGTCTTCTCCAGATTTTGGAATAGCTGTGTAGCCTTTACCGGTCGAGCATCCCAAACGTAAAATCCAAAATGCTCCAGAATTTGAAAGTTCTGACCTCGGTATCAGTGCTCAAAAAGGTTCAGAATCTGAAGCATTTGGGATTTGGGATTTGAGGATTAGGGATGCTTGGGCTGTACTAACTACGATGGTTAAGAAACAGCTGGAGAGCAGGAGGGGAGGGAAGGGGAAGACACGAGGGAATGAGATTGATCAAATGATGTTACTCCCAGCAGCTTGGGAGGCTGAGGCAGGAGGATCACGGGTTCAAAGCCAGCCTCAGCAATGGCAAGGCACTAAGCCATTCAGTGAGACCCTGTCTCTAAATAAAAGACAAAATAGGGCTGGGGATGTGGCTCAGGGGTCAAGTGTCCCCGAGTTCAATCCCCAGTACCAAAAAAAAAAAAWKKTWMMAMSSMAAAWKRAWYCC